TTTCCTCCGATAGAAGTTTAAAAGTCCAAATTGGACAGCATTTATCTGAAAAAGGTAACGTAACTTCACAGTTCCCTCAGGGAAGTGTCGTAGGCCCATGCTCTTTCTTATCTTTGTAAATGATTTATGTAAATAAGATGTATGTATGATGTATGTATGTATGTGTGTATGTATTGTAATGTCACGGTCACACGCATCACGTTGCGACGCATATTTTAACATTTTATTCGAAGTAACGTTGCTGAGGGCGAATGTAAGAGGGCCTGTAAAAGTGCATCTGTTGCTACCTGCAAGGGTGTAGGAAGCGTCGGGGACGCGAAGGCATGCATCTTAATTGTCTCGACAAATGCACGCCTCGCACGACACCGCTGATTCACCGGGAAATACGGACGCTGCCATTTCAAAACCCGGTAATTCAGCGGCGTCTGCTCTTAGAACTCGGGTGACGTCTGAGTTTCAACGGAACTTGGCGAAGATCAAACGGTCATCAATGACGCCGCGATTGGGTGGAAAAAAACCGCGCGCCCGCCAATCGCGGAAAACGATGCGAGGAGGGTCACATGACCCCGCGAACCTGAGGAGCCGCAGCACACAACCTCGGCCATACCGATCGAGGAGGCCAGAGCGAGCAGAAGTACCATTCCGACAGAGGAGGCAAGAGCGAGCAGAATTGTCTTTCTGAGGTAGGGACGCGGACGTGTTTCTATGGCTTCTGAGGGGACGCCGGTGAATGCGTTGCCGTATCGCCGCTAAGGTGCAATGCCACGCACCGCGTGACGCCACAACGCCTCCGCGCCGCTGCCCGAATGCATCATCGCCACATCGCGGGCCGCCTCTGGGGTGCGCTATGGCAAGGACGAACGGAACCGCCGCTGCCGTGAACTACACCGCCGATACCCGGACCAGGCGCTGCTAACGCCCAGAACGCCACCACGCCGCTGTCGCCCAGACTGCCTTGCTGAAGGGCAAAGGGGTGAGACGAGACGCTGCCGTCGCCTGACCGCGCCAAACACCAGGGCGAAGGGCCGCCGCATCCGTAACTGGGGTCGGGACCGCCGGGAAGGGCGCTGCCCTGCTTCAAAGAACGACCTCTGGCCAATTTGGCGGCGGCGATGGTGTAGCGTACAGAACTGTTGTACCCAAATTCGCGGGTTCAAAGCCGATCGAAGCCGTGGATTTTTAAGGGCGAAAAAATCCTTCGTACGTCTTCCTTCGGAGGGCAAGTAAAGCCGGCTGTCCCATGTTAGTAGATTTACTTGCAAGTAAAAGATCCTCAAGCCTAAATGACGCCTCTGAGCTAAATTAAAATCGCCTGTTTCTCGCCCAAGAAATACCTCCTGCCTCTGCTAGTTGATGAAAGGAGCGTAGCGAAATTTGCGTGGTCAGACGGACGAGCGGGCCTCATGACCCGAGTCTCGCTCCGTAAAATAAGGCAAATTCAATTCAATATGTCCGCTTGTATGACAAGTTAGTTTTAAGCAGTATTCATAATGGGAGGCTTGACCTCATGAAAAAATGGAATATTAAATCCATCTTTTAAAATGCAGCTGTGTTTAAATACAGTACTAGAACGAGAATAAGCCTTATCACGCATGCCTCCCTTTAAAGAGTATACAGACTGAGCAGGCGGGGCAACGTTGGATTACCGTAAGCAGCTAAACAGGAGATTAGGGGCAGCCACACGGATGGTGTGGTTACAGTATGTATGCATTTACGTATGTACGTACATTAATGTAGTATGTAAGTTTCTTTACCTAAAAGTTATTATATATATATTTGGATTTGTAGTACATGCATGTAAATATCATTTGCATACGCTAGGTAGTGACAAAGGTAATTTGTTGTTTTTATATTGTTATATATACTATATATATAGTTTTTATTTGTAATTGTTCTTTCATGTTTCTACATTCTGTCACCAGGCACAATTGTAGAATAAAGCTTCTATCCTACAGTGCTGTCCATAACAACAACTGAATGCGTCTTCAAAACACGCCCAACCGTTTTTTACTGCGATTCTGGTGAGGCAGAAAGCTGTTCTTGAACTACTCCCGAAACGTCATGGCATATCCGTGTGGCAATCCGCATTCATATCCGAGTGGTAATCCGCACTCTCTGAATTTTGGAAGAGGATAACAAGTTTTGCCTCAGGTATGATCCAGTTTCGGCAGATCCTGCGTGGCAAACAATAAGCCGTGACCCCCTCCTAAGGACACTTTCAATCCCCCTGCTCCGTTCCAAATTCACCAGAAATAATTTCTGAAGTCGTTCTGGTTTACCCGTGTTGTCTTTCCACCACGGTTTCATCCAAAAGTAAATGCACGTGTAGTAAACGCAAATGTACATGTTCGGTCCCGAGTGCGAATCTCGTGAATATGCCTCAAAAACCTAACGCGAGCTTGCAAACTGGCACTGCGTTCAATGAGGAACTTTCTACCATTCTTGCATTTAACATATTCAAAACCTATATTATTTAAAACCTCGCACACTACTAGCCTCACACATCCCTTATATTCGATTACTTTTGGCAACTTCCGGGTTAATTTTTCTGCAGAGTCTTTTTACCTCGGTCGTATAATTATAATACAGTGTCGCACTCCCGTTTTTTGGAATTGTCTAGATTTATTACCGTGCGTCATTTTCTGCCGTATTTCCCAGGTGACTTCAGAAGCATGGTCTCGAAGTAGCAAGAGAAGATTTGCGTCTTCAAAACACATCCAACAGTTTTTACTGCGATGACACAAGATGCTGCTGTTAAACTTAAACCGAAAACAGGGTGGCCTGCGTCCATGTTAGAAATCTCTTCACAGTGCCTGCCTCTGCTTCCTTCTTGAAGAACGAATAAACTACATACATCATGTTTCGTTCTTGAGTTTTCAGCACCTCACGCTTAACGTTCTTCGCACATACTGGACCTTACCTTTTGTTAAAAAGTACAAAACCAAAAAACAACAAACACGAGAACACAAACTCAAGAAACGAGTCGATATTCGTGAGGAAGCACTGAAACTCCGTTCTCCCACAGTTTACATATACGTACTACGGTTCTCCGTAGTGAATACAAGACTGAAGCTTATTAATCGAAACGAGGTTTCTCCTTGCTATATTCCCGTTTATTTAATGTGGGACCTCAAGGCCACGAGTTGGACGAAGAGGGGGGCACTGTCATCCAATCGGATGACATTCCATCCAGTCAGATGTCATCCATCAGATCCTTCGTTACGATTCAAATATTTGGATTTGGTGTTGTCGATTGGATCATAATGTTCCCCCCTCCTTCCAGCTCGGACCTTAGATGCAATGTTAAATAAATCAAGGTATACTGCGCATCTCCGGCCACCGAATTTCCAAACTGGCGGCCAGAATAGTTTTCGTTGTTTACCTAGGCAGATGTTTGCCCTCATCTAATACCCATCTCACTTAATGTTCCATTAATTCGGACCATCATAACACAGTACTGCAATTAGAGGTGTATCTAGATATTTAGGCGTCCATGGTAAGCAAAGAATTTGTACCCCTGTCAGATTACTTTAAATTAGGGTTGTGTTTGTTTTAGTAAGGATACTCCAAAAATAGTGCCGCTTGTGAGTGTCGCCCATGGTACGTGACTACCATACCGTAGATATGCCTCTGACTACAATACTGTGATCGAAGTCTCCAAGAGTTTGATTATTTATTCCTTAGGCAATTTCATTTTACGTAACACTAGAACACCGAAAATCGTAACATCTCTTGCCAACATATCAAATGACCACCTTATCAAAAGAAACCAACCACACTCGAACGAACGATTGACAAGCGCTGATCCACGGGGAGAGAAATAAGGAAATCCCCCAAAATTGTTCAGTATCTATTAATTTTAACTTGTCACGAATCTTTCAAGCATTTTGTTTCGGATAATTATTAACCTTTGGGCGCTCGCGCGATTTAGTGTTACATACGCGATATTTTTGCCGCCGGTGAACATCTTTCCCTTTTCTTAATATAACAACTTCTCTTTATCGTCAGTTGTGGGGAATTTATTAAATAACATCAAGTGGTCATTGTGGAAGATTAAAAAATTATTGAAACATTTTTAATATTGTGCAAAAAAAAATTCTGATGGAGATAAAGTGCAAAATCCGTCTTCTACTTTGACTTCACAAAACACTGATGACAAATACATACAAATAATAATGACGTAATAAAAATCTAATGAAGTAGGAACGTAAGAATCGAATATGTAAGATAAAAATGTTGGAGAGGGGGGTGAGAATGTGTAGGTAGCTAAATATTTTATAATAACGCGACAATAGTAAGTATAAGGAATCTAGATTATTAAAATCTATTGAAACTTTCAAATTACACTTAATGAATAACAAAATTCATTTAATTTACACAATAATTAGCATAAGAGCATTATTATAACATTTTTATTACAAAAATTTATGAAAAATATATTCACATGTTCATAACACTTGTGAAAGAAATAACTGGAGCACGTGCAACGCGTGGCGGTGCGCATAGGGCGAAGACTGATGACGTTGCTCAATACCCGCAAATGTGAGTGGGTTTTAGTGAAGACGTTACCATTATCTTGAAGATCAATAGATAACTAGATAATTCCTGGCTTCCAACACGATAAATTCAAACATCAAGGCGCAACGCTGTTTTATTGTCAAAAGCGGCATTTATACCGTCCCCGCGATCGCTGGAAGGTTAAAACGAATAAAACTGTATTGCAGCATGAGCTGGTATAGCCTACGACATTTCACAAATTCTGTAATAACACCTTCGACCAAAACATTTTGAATTTACCCTACTACAATGTAGTTGTTTTATTCATTGGATAGTATTAATCTCCCGTGTGGGATGCGAAAGCATCCACTTTTTCTAATGGAATTGAATGAAAAACATGTTATACTGGTGCCTGGAATTTTCGTTTAGGAAACGCACTATCTAATTGGTATTAGACGTACAAGTATTTCCTTGACAAATTCAATGTAATTATTAATTAGTATCGACTGGCTGGCCTGCATAGGCGATTATCTGTTGTTTAAAAAATGAAGGCCGGTTGATGTTCCATGGATTGCACGGAGCGCACGAAGCAACGTGCCGAACAGAAAGGTGTACCGATTTAGTGTCGCTGCCGTTGGATTGCGGCAAGATTGGGCTGCTTTGTACTGCACGCTTATGAAATGATCGGCTAAGAATAATAGAAATAAATCTACTCGAACTATGATCTTGTCTTTAATCATTAATAACAATGGATGACGCTATAGATATACCAGTATCATCAATAAGTAGTAAGTACTATCAAATTGTTCGGATCCGGTAATTTCATTTCTTCAGTAGTATTTTTAATCGTTGAGTGTAATAATTGTTTTGAAAATTGTGATGTCTAGAAATGAAAATACCTGTCTGTGTTTTCTGGGATAATTATCGCACCATGTGTGTTGGTAGTTCTCGTTTCATTGTGTACTTTTTTGTTTCAATGGTGATCATAGTGCAGACATTCGTAACTTATGATTGGTTACGAATGGTTTTAATTGGTTAAGTTAATATTGTTGTATGCTTTAACTTCAACTTGTTCCATGTACAGAATTGGCGCGATGGAACGTTCAGTGCGTGGGGCCATGGTTCATCGGTCATTGGGAAGGCCAACCTGTGGAAAAGGCAGAAGACATTTGTCTACAAGAAGATTCCGACTCGGAAGAAGAATTAACCACGAAATTTGATAAAGATGATGTGCAGTATCTGCGAGGGTTAGATCCCAAAGAATGGAAGGTAAAATTGATATAATTTAAGATTTAATACGCCAATGTGTTTCATGACTTCACAACTGATATTTTGATTTCAGGACCAGGATCATTATGCTGTATTGGGTCTGAGCAAAATGCGCCACAAAGCAACGGAAGAAGATATAAAAAAAGCGTGTAGGTACTCTTGTATCTCTGCTGTAATATTGTATCTGTGTCTTTGTGCAAAAGTACTAGGTGTCACTTTAAAGTTTTGAGTATTTTGCAATGTAATCAGTATTTACTATTGTTATTCTAATGTGTTTATTTGTGTTTTCTGGAATAGATAGGTTTCTTACTTTCATATATAATCACTACCTCACCCTCTTCTTTGATTTGAGGGTGTGTTTAAATATATTTGTGTTAAAAAAAAGAAAATTGTGTGCCTTCGTGTCAAACAGTACTTGTATTTTAACTGGTTAGTGTTTGAGAACACCAATTCAATTAATGTTAAGACACGTAATAACAATATGTAGCAAGGAAAATTACCATCTATTTCAATGTGCAAGGTTAATGAAGAGTACATTCAATCAATACAGTCATCACCTATTCAATGTCTTGCTGTGGTACTGAAGCAAATTTTGTGTGTAATATGTTATAGAATTTTTCAGGGAAATCAATATTAACATTTCTTGCTATGAAATTACGGATATTTTTTGGAGGTGCCAATGTTTTATTAGTATAAATTTTTAAGATAGCTTTGTATGAATATGTGAAACTTGCACGATGTTAAATTGTATATTTTCGGCAAAAGTCTTTGGAAATACCATTTAATCTTCCATGATGACATTGTGTTCATTGCCTAAAGTAGGTATCAAAAAAATGTTGTGAGAAAGCTGAGTAGAAGACAAAAGTAATATGGTTTCATTATCAATTCTTCATTAACAAAATAATTTCATCAAAGTAGTCCTCACAATTAGTTTCAAAAAATAGAAAATTTCCGTGCTTTAATTTATTAATTGCATTAATTTTTCATTATCCTTTCGATCATCTTCAGTAAGACACATTAATGAATACAAATTGTGTTTTGTGAATGCGAATGAATTTTTAATGAATACCAATATGCTCACAGCCTACTGGCATTAGTTCTCACAGTATAGTTCGGAGGTACCCTACAAAATTGGATTCAGGATTTATTGCTTTAGAAAGTTGTCAGTTCAGTAAAATCATAATCCACAGGAGAATAGGATCACTGTTGAACACTCTTGTATTATGAGACATTTGCTGCACTCTTTCCAATAAATAAAAATATTTGCATATCTGATATAATACATGCCCTCCGATGTTAATTCTTGAAACTTGGGTAGTGAATAATGAATTATCAAATTAAAATATATCAAATAAGCTAATTATAAAATTTTCCATTTTAATTAGTTTTTCAATTAGAAAATTTGTAAATTGTTAATATATTAATTTCATTGAAATTCAGTTTGTTGCATTAGTTTGAATAAAGTAGCATGTACATACATGCATTGGTCAAACCTTATCTTAAGACATTTATAGATATTATCTGGTGGATAGCAAAAGGCTGACAATAGATTCTTGTTGTCAACTTATTGGCTAAGTGAATTTATTGTTAATTCTCTTGTCTGTTTTTGCTGTGATACTTTATTAGTAAATTATTTGTGAAACAATTTTAATTGTCTTTTAGCTAGGTAGAGACCTTTGAGTGGGTTACTTCCATTTGTAATTTTTGTGAAACGTGTATTGTTAATTTAAAGACTTAATATCAGCTTTGATTAATTTCTGTTTTTAAGAATGAAATTTTTTCTTGATTGCTAATTCTTGTTTTGACTGTTCACATTGACAGATCGAATGAAAGTTTTGAGACACCATCCAGATAAACGGAAAGCACTGGGAGAAGAAATACGTCCAGATGACGACTACTTTACGTGCATTACCAAAGCCTGGGAAATCTTGGGAAATCCTCGCAGCCGGCGATCTTTTGATTCAGTTGATCCAGAGTTTGATGATGGTGTTCCTTCAAATAATGAAAATTCAAAAACTAACTTTTTCGAAGTGAGATACGCTTTGTGTTATATTCAGTTTTATTAGTGTAGTACAGTGGATACATATGAGAGTGTTTTGAGATTGTAATGTTATTCTCTTCCTTAAACATGAGGAAGGGGTATATTTATTTGAAGGGTATAAAACTTAAGAGTTAAAAAAATGTTGAGTTCTATACCTGATAATACAAAAATTCATTTTGTTGTGAAGTGCTATTGTTTCTTTCAGTTTGTGATTCAGTGAGAATATTCAATTTAAAATCCATATAAATGACAAACATTCAGATTTTAAATTTCTTTTAAGTTTAGTATGTCGTGTATTTAAATACCTTGATTCTTTATTGGTAATGCATTTATATCAATTTATTTTTGTTCTACTTTATTTAATTTTTTCCCTAGATATTTGCACCAGTTTTTGAATTAAATGCTCGTTGGTCAGAAAAGAGGCCAGTTCCCAAATTGGGGGATCTTGATTCATCACGTGATGCTGTGGAGGAATTCTATGCATTTTGGTATAATTTTGAATCCTGGAGAGAGTATTCTTATTTAGATGAGGAAGAGAAGGAAAAAGGACAAGCGTAAGAATGAATACAATACAATTTGCCCTGTACAGATCTTTTATTGTGTGGTGTATTTACATCATTGTGTGTTACAATAGGAAAGAAGAAAGAAGATGGATTGAAAAACAAAATAAAGCTGCAAGGGCAAAGTTAAAGAAAGAAGAAATGTCTAGAATAAGATTATTAGTTGATACAGCTTATGCCTTAGATCCACGAATTCACAAATTCAAGCAGGATGATAAAGATAGAAAATTGGCTGCAAAGCAGGCTAAAAAGGATGCTGCTCGGGCACGGATAGAGGAAGAAGAACGTGTAAGTCTATTGTTATTATCATTGCTCTTCATCAAGTGCTCCATTATATTTTAAAAAATGGAGTAATTCAATTACCGTATATCCTCAAGTATGTCTACCCTGAATTCGAGATGGCCAAATTTTGTAGGAGCCTTCTAAGAATTTTTCAAATTTTTAACTAATTCTCACTATTTAGTCGAAATAAAATTACAAAATGTCTTATTGCCTAGAAAATTGCATAGTTTATGTGTATGTTAGGACTTTATTGCTGAACTATTATTTTTTTGTTACTTAAAATCAGTCATGGTTTTTGTCACTACCCTCATCATCTTCACATGTATGAACGTTTCTTTCTTCTTGATCCTCCTTCCATACTGGCATCTTCTGACTTTTTAGGCACCTCTGAAAGTTTTACGGACTAAATTTATGTTGTTCAGTCTTTCATCAGACACAACTTAAGAACATTCCTTTCTGTGTCGCCAGATTTGTCTATCCGCACTTGTTGATGGCCTGTGTTTCACAGTTCAAAACATAGATTTTGCATTCTCCGATCAATGAACCGAGATTCAGTGCGGCCTTGTCAAATCCACGATGTGTAACAAAATCTCAGCAATAATTTTCACATTATGTTTCGTTTGATGCAATGTCATTCGGTTAAAGATTCTCTTTACCTACCCGGTTAGAGATTCCCTTTACCAGCCCATTCAAAAATATCAGTGTGAATTCCCTGACAAATTCACTGTTAATGCCGAGAATATGAATGTGAATATAATTACTTATTGTAAGATATGTGCTATATTTTTACGGTTTACTGTTTTTTGTTACGCCTACATGTACGAGTTTCATGACATGGAATGGCAATGTTAAAAACTTAAATCTTAACCATCTAGGCTTAACCTGCATTAACAAGATGATCCCATCTTTTTTTGACCGAGATGTTTTGGGAAAAACGTCTTATATTGGTTAAATACAGTTCATTTGTTTACATGTGTTCTGTTTTATTTTGTCATTAAGTTCATGAAGTTAATCTGCATTGGTTGCAAATGGAATTCTATTCTGCATGTCAATATGGTCTTAAATATGTGTTCCAATATTTAGAGCCATTTCCACTTTGAAGTAATTTGAATTTTTTAAGTTCCATCACTGTCGAGGTTTTGAAATGCAGTAAGTATTTATTTAACACTTGTAAAATACTTGTCATTTCTTTTCAACGGAGCATTTTGCAGGTACTGAAAAAATATGGTGCACTACTTCGATAATTCTGAAAAAATCTCGTTAGTGAAGGACAGAGTAACTAGGTTTTTCATAAAAGTTTTGTGCACAGTTTAGTCATTACAAAATAATGGCTGCAGCAATTTGCTGTTACACATGTAACTATGATATTCCATTATGAAGTTAGCAACATTAATATATTGGCAGAAATGGCCCAGTCGCAACATCTTGTTCAATCTGTAGGATCTCTGAGTTGGAGATTATAGGGTTGAAGATCCAACAGTGTTGGATTTTCAATGCTAGCTGGGTCAAATTGAACTCTGGGGGAGAATTTTAGCGATCAGCTGCTCCGATCGGTAATTTTTTTGTGATATCTCCCAATAATACCAGAGCATTAACTTAGCAAACAGATTGCTCACAATTTTCCATTCATCATTGCCATTTCCTTTTTTCCCTTGACACACAAACATTATGATACATGACAGGAGACCAGTCAGAAACTTGCAGCTTATCCCTGCTGGAGGGGAAAACCCACTAGCTAATATGCGGGTTAGTGCTAGAATTCGTATTCCAGTGGAGGAGGAACACTGCCATTAGGCTCATAAGTCATTCATGGTCAAATTTGAAAATCATGTGTACCCGAATATAAGATCGTGTTTTTTCCTAAATATCTAATTCGAAAAATAGGGGATTGTTTTATTTTTGCAGATTAAACGCAGTCACTTAGGAGTGTTGTTTTTACAGTGTCTTTCCATGTCACAAAATTTGTGAATGTTGATGTAACGATAAGCTGTAAAAATGATAAAATATGTAAAAATATTTTTTGCAATTGATTTCTTGGCATTCATTGAATTTGCCGAGTGATTCAGATCAATATTTTTGAGTGTCCCAGTAAATGGAGAATCTCAATCGAATGACATTGTACCAAGTGAAACATAACATGAAAATGAAAACAAATCATTGAGATTTTGTTTACACATTTGATACATATTATGGGATTGATGAAGTCATGCTGACTGGTTTGATGACCTGAGAGTGCTAATCTGCGTATTGCAAGAGATAGAAATTCTAAAAATTTGCATTGATAAAAGTATATACACATTCTAAATCCAACCATAGAAAAGGATGAATAACACATTTTCTAAGCAAAAATTTCCAAACTTGGAAACTTGCTGCTATTTCCGTTACCTGTGAAACAGAGGAATAGAGATGTAAGAGTTCACAGTTCACAATCTAATCTTGCAAATTTGAAGTACATTATTTCATGTCTATTGTTAAAGAAAGTGAAATATTTTTTTTAAAGAATCCAAGAGCATGAATAACTGAGCGACAGGAAAATCTGGCGACAGAAACAATGTTCTTACTTAAGTGGTGTTATTTGAATGACTAAAAATGTAAATTCTATGCTTACAAATTTCAGAGGGGCTTGAAATGTCAAAGGACATCGAAGTACATGAGGAAGGCCAAAAGGGAACAATGATATACCGTATTTACGCGAATATATGACAAGGTTTTTTTCGTTTTCAACCTTCGAGGGTTGTCATATTCGTGTATGATGAAAAGATGTCAAATTCGTAATAGAAAATCGTAACAAGGGTTTCGGAGTTTCTATAAATAGCATTAAAATGAAAGCATTAGAAGTAGCAAGAAGGAGAAACTTTTCCAGACAGGAATTAAATGCGAGTGTTGGCTGGTGCGTATGGTTCATGAGAAGGAAAGGGTTCAGTCTGCGTAGAACAACTTCCCTATTGCAAAAGCTGCCTGCAGATTATGAAGAAAAACTTCTGGAGTACTAAAAGTACATTATACAATTGTGCCATCAACACAACCATTTGTTGAGTCAAATGGAGAAAGCCGACGAGACCTCTGTGTACTTCGACATGTCTTCTAACAATACAGTGACTACAAAAGGGTGTAAATCAATTATGATAAAAACATCGGGAAAAGAAAAAATGCAAGTTAGTCATGCTGAGTGTTGGCTGATAGCAAGAAACCGTTACGGGTGCAGGGCTAGGAAGATTCGCAGTGTTGCCATCTGGTACCCAACCATCTGTGTAGAGAACAACCTCTTCCAACCTTCGGATATGTTGATCTAAATTACTTTTTATGTGTGTGAAAGCTTTCAGAGGGTCGCCTTTATGGATGTAGAGAGTAAAAAGATTAGAACGATTAGTAGTCATGTCACGAAAGCACCTTGATGTACATGATAAAATTGGAATAAATACAAGAAACTCAGATAAGAGCAACGAGCACCTAGCTTAATATTTTGAAAGTGTAAGATTGAGATACAAAATCTATTGAAGGCAAGTACTTACAAAATTTGGCAATGTTATATAGATTGTTGTCCACTGAAGCTGCTACTATTTAATACAATCAGTGGACTTTACTTTCCTGTAAATAAATATAAGATATTAACTAAAAATGTATTGTCTTGAAAATATAGAATAAATAATATTTGGAGCACAAATTCAAAACTGTTTGATACACCGTCCCCGTACAGTTCAAATCAACGGAATCTTCACTGTCACAGAAGTATAGTAAAGTCTTTCAGCAATTCAATTATCACTGTGATTTATCGAAAATAAACTGAACTGTTTATAGGTTTTGACATTTATCACCAACTTGTAATTCTTAAGTTTGTTTTGGTTCCTGTAACCATTTAAAATTTGTTCTTTTTTGGTTTGTCTTGGTTATAGCAAAAAACCTAGCTGAAATTATATTTCCAGGTAACCTGCGACGAGTAATGAAATACTTGCACCATATATAATAAAATCGCTAAAAATAGTTGAGCACGACCAGATGCGTCAGTCTCGTAAGACGGCGTCAACCAGACTCCTTGCAGGAGTATAGCAAATAGGAGTCCCATCTTGCAGGAGTATACCAAAATCTCGTGGATAAAGAAGAAAAGGCAAGGCAGAGCATTACGAGAGGAGAAAAGGATAGAGAAACAACAGTGTGCAGCGACTGCATCTTCCGATGTACGTTCTTCATTGTCTAAAGATTTAAATATCGAACTTCCAAATTTGGTGAATTATTAAGAGAGACTTCTGAGAGTATATAAATATAGAATACTACCTGGCATGGCACCAAAAATGTCATTACTTCTAAACTAATGGCTGCTTTAGATAGATGACACCAGAGTGAACGATATTCTGTATAAATCCTTCAGCGACAGCGGAAGCACTTGACCACAATACCCCCGCCCCCAGAATTCTATTAATTATTTTTTTCAAATGTGTAAAACAATGAAATCTTTTAAGAGTGATATCTGATTGTTATTGTTCATTGGGATGGTAAACTGTTGCCTGTATTAAAGGGTTATATCAGGGACCCAAAAGAAGAAATACTTCGAATTTTGTTACATTTGGGAAAGTCAGCATCTTATCAGGTTTCCAGAATTGTGAAATTCTTCTGGCAAAAAGCAAGCAAACGCTGTTTACAATGTGTTAACACACTGGGGTATCAAAAACAATTAACAAATTCTTTGCTGTGACACAATTGCATCAAATACTTGATGTTTAAAAGAGCATGTCTTTTTGGAAGCTAATTTGGACAAAAAACTGTTTTTTCCATGCCGTCATCATATAAACAAATTTATTTTACTATGTGTGTTTAAAGCATTTTAAGGAAAGCTGGGAAATTGTTAAAACGATTAATTTTCAGTGTTGTGAAGAGAATGTGGAAATATTCTTAGAGTCGAAATTTAAATAAAGTGAAATATGCAAACCCACATTGTGAGGGGCTTATCGTGAACTCAAGTTCTCCCTAAAATTTTTGGGAGGACACTCTAGAAAAAACTTAAGATACAT